GCCATGCGAGAGCGATGAGAGCAGCTCCTGCGGACGCAGCCCGGCAATGGAGGATGATTTATTCCAGCTGAGACAGCTGCCGTGAGTAGCACCGGCGGGGGAGCGGGGATGCGCAGGATTCCCCCCCAAAAACGGGCGGGCAGGGATGTCGGGAATCCTTGGGGGGGAGGGGGGGGAGCGGTTAAGGGAATTATTTCTAGGAGATGTCTTAGGCCCTCGGAAGCAGGCCATTTTCCGTGTGGGGTTCAGCATCCCGGGGGTATGCAGGGATCCGGTTTGTTATATAAATTCACTCAATTTTTTATTATTTTAATTTAGGGTTTTTTTTTTTTTGGCCTGAACTTGATGGTGGTAGAAATAAGGAGGGGTGGGATAAAACTGTGCGAGCGCCAAACGTTGGTTGTTTTTATTATTTTATTTTTTTTTGGAGAGTGAAACATGATTGTCGGTGTTTGCGAGGTGGATGGCATCGGTAATTACCGTGGTGCGGGGAAGGCGCCTTCCCCTGCTCCCTCCTGCCCTCCTTCATGCAGACCACCACCTTTTTTTTTTTATTTTCACAAAGGTGTAGTTTGCAGCGAGTAGCAGCGGTGTTTCCTCACCCTGTGCTTCAGAGAAGCGAGCGTTGCATGCGCAAGGAAAATGCTGTTATTTGCGAGGAACTCCTCGCTCTTAGGATGCGGTTTGCTGGATCTGTGCAAAAAAGGGGTAAAAGTATTGCTGGCTTTTAACGCCAGCATCGCCTTTCCTTTTCAAGAATGCTAAATGTTGCCATTAAAAACAAGTGCATCTTGCCTAATGCTCCGTTATCGGGTGCTTTGAAACCTATTCCTATTTATAAATCATTGGCTGGGCAAGGCAGGGGATAAATGCTTAAAGTTGATTTTAAATATTAATGAGCTCATGTCAATGACAGAGCAAACTGTCCCATTTCTAATAAGTTGGGAAAATGGACATGAACTCCAATTATTTTCAAATACTTAGTTTGGATGCATTCAGCTTGGCAGTGAAAGGAGTAAGACATGATTTCATTAGGCCATTTTTCCCAGTATTTTTTTTTCTTTTAAATCCACAGAAAACTGTTCTAAAATACCTTTCAATGTAGGTATAATTAGACATATTTGATGCTGTCAGATTTTGCAAACAGATGTGGCTCTCTGACATGTCTCAGCTGTGAAGAATTTTGCGAGTATGGAACAGTCAATATCACTGTGTGGGTTTTTTCTTCATTTATGTCAATTTGTTTCGTAGGTTCCTAAGTGATAAACACATTTTTTTATTTCCTGTGATGAGGAATGTGGCCAGATAGCGCACTACTCAGGTTGCCATTGAAATATTTACAATTTTCAGATTAGTCACTGCCTTTTTATAGCGTCTGGAACCTCCAAAATGGTCAGTTCTGAAAGTATTACAAGTGTTCTGAAAATATTACAAAATAAGAAACAGTAACACAGAGGTTTTGTGATCAGGTACTTTAAAGTCAGGAAGGTTTTTATTGGCATGTTTATTTTGCTTGTGGCTTACTCGGACACTGAACAGTTACCAGCATAGATTGTATTAATGATTTTCAGTCATAGTCCCCCGGAGTAATGGCACTTTAGGCCTCCTGAAGTCTGGGGAAAAGTTGTCCATATACATCTGTGAACTTTGCAGCAGACTTCGACACTGTTAATAGTCCTCCTTTAAAAAAACAGATATAAAAGTTTACTTCTCTGTAGAGTTAATTGTAAAGCTTTTGCAAATAAGATATGAATGGTACTTTGATATTAATTGCTCTGTGTAATAAAAAAGTCATCTCATGGGCATACAAATTTTAGTGTTTCTTTGCTGAGAGTGTGTATTTTGTAGGTGATAGGAGGATTATATCTTCAGTGACAATTTTAACACGAGAGTAATAGTTACTTGTGTTTGTCCTGTAGGGTCAGCAAAAGAAAAGGCAAACCAAGATAGGTGTATTAAGGTTAAAAAAAACAGTCATATGAAGAAAATTTAAAATTCAGTTTCTCAATGGAACTAAATACAAACCTGAATTAGACAAGTTTCGCTGTTTTGTTTGTCTTTTCTTATAATGGCGTGAGGGATCCTCTGCGTACCCCAAAGCAGAATGTGAGACAAACCCTAGTTTCACTGCAGTCAGTGTAGTTTTCCTGTTCATTTCATAAGAGGCCTGGGGTTTTGTTCTGTGTTCTTATGTTTAAGATCTTAAAATGTTATCTTAGAAAACAAAATTTGTGACTCTGTTGTTTGTCTGCCAAGACATAAAGGCCAGAGGAAAGCATTCAGCTTCCTGCTGCAGATAAGAGTGTTTCTAAAGTAGTACAAGGAATGTTTGCCCCATAGAGATCTCGGAATGCCCTGTTTACCTGAAAAAGTCATCTCAAAACATCTCAAAAGTCATCTCAAAACAGCCTGCAAATCAGCCATCCTAAAGATGAGTGATACCCTCACAAAGCGATCACTGTACTTCTCTTTCTCTCCAGGTTGCTGCGAGAATATCATTAGTGAATATGTGCATTTCCCCAGATGGGATGTGGTCAGGGAAATAATATATGTGCCAGGACTATGAGAAAAAAATAAAATAACGTTTTGTATCCCTCTGCTTTCTGTTTCTACCGCAGTGAAATCCTAAGCTGGACTGAATGGCTGGTGGTGGCCAGGACTTCTTTCTTTGTAAAAAAAACCCATGAGTGGCCGAGGTGTTCATTCCTTCATCCTCCTGTCCACCACTGGACCAAAATCCATTTACAGGAGTTTTGTAGATTGCCCATTGCTTTGCCCTTATATTAAATCTTGATTGTGTCATCGGCACTTGTAAGAGAAAATAAGAGTTGAGGTCTTGCCAAATATGAAAAGTCTTTCAGATCACCTTTAGAAATGTCATACATGCCTGTCAGTTTGCTGCAGCTGGCAAGGATGCTGATAGTTTAGTTTTGCTGACTTTTAAACCAAAGGATTAAACTGAAGTTCAAGAGGCTCTCTGCTAATCTTTATTGTAGAATTAAACTGTTCAGGTATTTATTGCAAGTCAGAAGAGGTAGTAGCAAGACTAATTTAATCTATTTCCAAAAAACTATTTCACTGAAGTCCAAGAAACTGTCAGTTGCCAAGGTGAAAAAGTTACACTGATGCTGCAGGTAAAGTGAAGGAATCTTGAGGAATCTGTTACGTTAAATGTAGTAGATCTGGTACAAAATCTTTGTTTGGTCACCAGACATGTAACTGATGGAAAATGGGCCTCCTCTGTATATATGAAGCTTTGCACAAAATCATTCTAACCAAAACATGAAAGTTGTGTCAATTTAACAAAGTTCTGTTTTCATGTTGTATTCTCTCCATGGCCTTGCTGCAGAGATTAGTCAATTATCTCTCAGCTAGTGCCAGAAGTGATATAAAATACAGACAGCTGTGAGTGTGACACTCATGTGACAATCATGATTCGTTCTGCCAGGGCTATAATTGGCAGGCAGGTACACTCTTCAGTCTTGACTTGGACTTAATGAGAAAAGAAGTATCCTTTGATGCACTTTCTTATTCCGTCCTGCCTCATTACCTAAAAGATTCAACAAATGCACAGATGAACCAAGTACTGAGAAACCAATAGCTTCTTAAAATATAGGTATTTAGTTAAGACTTCAGTTTAAGACAAGAGATGAAAGCAATTGTATCTGTAGTCACAGAATCATCACCATAACGAGAAAAATCCAGTCAATTCACTGAATTATCTCAGGAATCCTGCTTTACTAAGTAATGTTTAAAAATCTGACCAATTTCAGGACTTCTGCTTCTCCTAAGACACAAGTCACTCTTATGAAAATGATGTGGAAAATGGAATTTGGGCTCTTCCTACAAGGACAAAGCGTCTGAAATTCAATGACATGGCTGTGTGTAATTCGCAATAAAAGTCTAGACGCACAAAACATGGCTATCATTAAATATGTATCATTTAATCATATTTTTATAACCTGAATGCTTTTATGACTTTATAGTTAGCGTGATAACATCCTCTTTGTACAAAAATGGTGACTATATCACATGGCAATGTACTCTACAGTTTTTCCAAAGCCAGTAACAACCAACAGGATAACCTATCTAAAAGCAGATACAAATAAAAGTCACAGCCTTCTGTGTGAATGTGAAACGGAGACAGGAGAGGAGGGAGAAACCCGGCTGCTGTTTGACCAAATAGGATCAGGACTAACCAAACGCAGCTTCGACCTCGAAAAGGCTCACCAAAGTATTAATCCTTGTGTCTGTATTCTTAGGGTGGTCAAGTTTCGCCGCACTGGGGAAAGTTCGAGGTCAGATGAGGATGTCATTTCGGGAGAACATGAAATTCAGATTGAGGGTGTTCGGACAGAGCTAGAGCCTATTGAGCTAGAGGATGGAGCTGCAGTGCCAAAAGAATTTGCCAACCCAACTGATGGTGAGTACGTTTCTTGTTTTCCTGCAAGGAAAGGTGTGGCCTCTTCATTTCACTCGTGTTGCAATCAGGCTGAATACATTGGGTTTAGAGAAGTTGAAGTTCCCCAGATAAGAGGGTCAGTGTCTTCAGACAGAACAAAATAAGGAGGTCATGGCAATGTGTGGGAGACAAGAACCATCAGCATTTTTAACAAAAGTATGTTTCAAGATATATGTGTCTTGGACAAATTCTTGATTCAGATAATTACAGTTTGACTCTCCATGCAATAAAATATTCTTCTGCAGTTTCCATCACTTGCATAGTATTGCTGTACGCTGTTGAGGAGCTCGTATACTTCCTGCCAGAGGAAGCTACAATTCAGTGGCTGGTGGAGTCAATCCCAGGAGCAATAGGCTGAACGTGTGCTGGAGTCATTTGTGCTACACTGATTTACTTCTGTGTGAATAAAATATTCTAAGAACATTTAGAATTATTTTGGCTTTAGCACAATTCCT